TAACATGGTACAGACTTTCTATCATTTGGGACGGTCTACGTAAATTTCTTTAACGTTCATTACCACTTTTACTACAATTATTTCAGCCATCTCTTGCAAATGACTTGTCACCAATTTGCTGTTACGACAGCATAGTAAGCACAGGACAACATATATATTTATCCTACAAAAATGTTGCTGTTCCGTAACGCAACACATGATATGAGTGTATAACACAATACGGTACATAATTGTTTGACTGATTAAAAAGTCGTTTTTTTCTGGTAACGCTAACTGCTGTGGTATGTTTCTTCCTTTCCGGGGTGGAGAGATCCAGCGCTGATTACATGTTGGTTTGTGGGATTTCCCCATCCAGTTATCTCGCACCAGCGGCCTTCCGACTGGTCTCCCGGCATGTGTGATAGTGTAGTGCATGTTAGTGTATGTGTAAGAGATGAGGATAGCACAAGGAAGAAGAAGAAGAAGAAGAAGAAGAAGAAGAAGAAGAAGAAGAAGAAAGGAAGGTGACCCATTTGTTAGGGTACTGCTTTAGCATTCACCAGTCTTTAACCTTAAAACCACGGAAAACTACATGAATATAGAACGAAACCATAGTAACCACTCACGCGCCCAGAGGCCGCATAATTTTTTTTCAACATCTGCGCACATTGAAAACTAGTAACAACCAAAGTAGTTGACGCACTAGGAAAACCTGCTCCTCTCTAATTGGTCTTCACAATCTGTATCAAACTTAACGCAATATTTCGTATTACCATAGTTCGTTCCCGACTGTTGGGTCAATCGATGGCCACAGAAAATATTCTTCGCGTTCGCCCGGCCGACCCACTGTGCTCCTTGATTCGCCCCTTCCTCTCCCCCTCCCCATCCCCCTCTCCCCCCTCTTCCTTGGTCCGGAGGCGCTGCGCAGTGGATCGCCGACGCGCCGGGGAATCCCCGCGGGAGGGGGAGGTGGAGGGGGAGGGGCGGTGGTGGGCGACTGAATGGAGGCGTTGCAGGCGGAGGAGGAGAAAGAGATCGGCGCCGCCCTCCGCCACTGCCAACCGCGCAGGAAAGAAACAGAAGCAAAGGAAACAAACATTGAATTAATCAAAAAAAAAGCTTTCTTTCTCTAACACCACGGTTTATTCTGGTTATTGACGTTTGGAACTTCTTTCTTTTTTTATAGTGTAAGTTCCGCGCAGTTTCAGAGTCTGCAAGAGCTCCTCGCTAGCGTATGTCGGTCTATCGGTGATTGGGTGATGATGGGAACGAAGTCGGAAAGAATGGTTGCGGACAGTCCGTGGCCCGATGTAAGAAGTCTTACTCCAGCGTTTATCGGGAGGTAATCAGGAAAACCATACATTATAGAAGTCGGTTTACGAATTTAATTGAATCGGAGAAAACAAAAACATTCGATGTCCAGGAGCTTTAAATTTTGAAGAGCAAGGAAATGGTTCTAGGTTGCGAACACCAAACATTTTTTCTGAACATTAATAGTTTAAGAACACTCTACAGACGGCATAGAGTTTTCGGACAACGAACGTTTATGCATAGAAAGGTGAATTTATATTTTAAGAACAGTTTGCCACCGATAACTCAAAACCGACAAAATGTGAAATCGAACCTCTTTGTTTGCAAAACACCACCAATTTACCGACATACACATAAAAAATCTTGCGCTTTGTCGAGTTCAAAACCACGACCTCTTCATATATTTTTTTAATTGGAAGCGTTGCAGGCAGGTCGCAGAGGAGGAGGAGGAAGAGGAGGAAGAGGAGGAAGAGGAGAAGGAGGAGGAGGAGAAGGAGGAGGAGAAGGAGGAGGAGAAGGAGGAGGAAGTGGAGAAAGAGGAGGAGGAGAAGGAGGAGGAGAAAGAGGAGGAAGAGGAGGAAGAGGAGGAGAAGGAGGAGGAGGAGGCAAAAGAGGTCGCCGCTACCCTCAGCCCCTGCCAAGCGCGGAGGAAAAAAACAGGAGCAAAGTAAACAAGCATCGATTAAATAAAAATATTTATTTTCCTAGCACCACGGTCTATTCTGGTTATTGACGTGTGTAACTTCTTTTTCCTCGTGTTTGTTCAGTGCAGTTGCAAGGTTCGCAAAGCATCCCCCCAGCGCACGTCAATCTATCGGGGTGTGTTACAACGGGACACACCCCTCATGGCACTTCAGTGTGCACTGAAGAAGGTGATTGGATGATGTGATAATAAGGAATCAAGTGGACTGTCCGTGTCCCGATGTTACAGGATAATGCTCCGGCATTCGTCGAGAGGTAATTAGGAAAACCATTGATTATAATAGTTGGCCTACGAATTCAAGACTCCACAAATTCACAAACGTACACATTAAGTATTTTGCCCCTCGCCGGGATCAAAACCATGACCTCCTCATCACTTCTTCTTTTCTAAATGGAAGCGTTACGGAGGCGTCGGGGAGGAGGAGGAGAAGCCGAAAGAGGTCGCGCCGCCCTCCACATCTGCCAATCAAGAGGAAAAAAAGAAGTGAGTTGGAGCAAAGGAAACAAACATTGAATTAATTTAAAAAAAACATTCTTTTTTCCTTTCTCCACGGTTTATTCTCGTTATTGATGTTTGTAAGTTCGTACTTTTTTTCTAGTTTTAGCTACGCGCTACTGTTATAATAAAATACTTCCTTCGCAACACATTCACATATTCTCAGAGCGAAACAGTAATTTAAGCGAATCAATCGTTGACACTCGATGTCTATGTATGTGTAATCTGAACACACTGAATGGCAAAATAATTAGTGTTGCCTTGATACACTTCATTACTGCTATAACGTAATATTCAATCTATCTAATCAGCTAGTGCCAAAATCCTGCTACCTAGGACTTCCCGATCAGACGCGCTGCAATACCCTCGACAATGCTGCCACTAAGCCATTGCAGCTTGTGTGTGTCGTACGATGACCTCCACGTTATCGGTGTAAGCGGCCGATATCTCCGATGTAATAAAACACAGATAGACGTCGTTCCTTAGCATCCAATGGGATTCGGGTAGTGCTCAACAGCGCGTTGTAGAGTGCCCTACCCCAAACTAGTATTGAAGTGCTAATATGTCTCATTTCCGATCAATGTGATTGATCTTCCCACCGAAGTCCAACTTCATTGAACGAAGTTCGGAGCTTTGTATTGAGAGCACTGCTTTGATTGCCATTTGAATACAAATTATGTAATTATATTACATCTTATTAATTAACATGTCACGCAATGCAATCAATTACTTATTATTTACACTGATTATTGTTAAATTCATAATTTATGGTCATAAATGTTCTGTTTGTATTGAATGTATGTGTCGTGTGGTGAAGTGAAGTGCAATTTAGAATGAGAGACAAGTGAAGTGAAACAACGTGTAATGTGGAGTACTTGGAAAATAATGTGTTTAAAACGTTAGAATATTTATACACGGTAGACATAAACATTCAGGTCTATTGTGATGGATTATCCTCGAATTCTGTAAAAACCATCACAAAATTGTATAAGGAACATACAGATGAGCAACAATAGAGGTCAATATTGATGATGAAATTAAAATATAAATATAGAAAGAATAATAGGAAGTAATCATTATAATAAATTGACGGAAAATAAAGAGTTAATTGTAGTTATGGACACTTGGAAAATTTTCGTGGATAACAATATAAGAAATATAAATAATAAATTGCAAACGAGACCGGATATCAAACAGAAAATGCAGCGAACGAATCCAGAGTCGCAATCCCAAAGAGAAACATGCTCTCGCGAGAGGAAAGTCCCATCTCGATCAGGTTTTCGTCCAGTTTCTCTGATACTTGAGCAAATACTGAGATGGCCTCTTGTTTTGCTTCTGGTCATAAATGTAACTTCAAATTAACGTCTTCCCGTAGCACGTCACACACAATTTTAACTGTTTTTGACGTAAATACTTTTTTTTTAAATGCCGTCCGACCTGATCTCACCCACCCCAACCAAACAGTACTAAGTGTGTACTAATACGGTGAAGTGCATGTTCTATTCCGGGAGGTGGTGCTGTTCCTTCTCCGCTGACACGTGAGAACCCGCTCCGACCCACACGTGGGCTTTCACGGTTTCCTTCTACAGATATCTCCCCAAGAAGGTTATGGACTCAGGCGGGACAATGCTCTGACCATGAGTGACAGTGTAACGCATGTGTGTGTGTGTGTGTGTGAGTTGGTGTGTGTTCGAAAGGAGAAATAATAGGACAATTTGTACGTTGGAAATATCGCTACCGCTCCGTAGCCCATTTGTTAAGGAACTACTCCGACATTCACATGGTATAAATTGCAGAAACCACAAACCAATAATTACGTTTTTGATTCTTGACTTGCAAAATGACAAATGAGGCCAGCGAACGAATTTACCAACGCAATTCTATAGAGGTACATCCCGTCGCGTGAAGAAAGTCGGCCGACCGGAACTCGTTCACCCCCACCCAAACAATTCTAAGTGAAGTGCATGTTCTATTCCGGGAGGTGTTCGGTGTTCCTCCTCAACTGAAACGTGAGAACCAGCCCCGACCTACGCGAGAGCTTGTACGGTTTTCCCTCTCCAGGTATCTCCCCCAAGCGGGTTGTCGACTCAGGCGGGACAAAGCTCCGGGCATGAGTGGCAGTGTAATGCATGTGTGTGTGTGTGTGTGTGTGTGTGTGTGTGTGTAAGAAAAGAGGATAGTGAAGTAGGAAAGATAGCTCCCATTTCGTGGCCCGTTCGTTAAAGAACTACTCCCGCATTCACATGGCAGCGATTGCAGAAACCATAAATTTATAATTATGTTTTCGATTCTTGACTCGCGAGATGACAAACGAGGCCAGCGAACGAATCCGCAGACGCAATTCCGAAAAGAAACATTCTCTCGCGGGAGGAAAGTCGGCCCCGACCCGAACTCGTCCACCCCCGGCCGCGCCCACCCAAACAGTTCCCCCTCCCCCCTCACTTCCTCCCTCCTCCCCCTCCCCCCGCGATGCAACGCTCCGCGGCGCTGACGTCACGCTCCGAGGGTATAGATGTCGGCGCGAGCGATCGCGCGCTCAGTCGGTCTTCAGGCGCACAGCTTCCACCCAACAGCAGCAGCAGCAGCTACCCGCATCAAAGGCGTCGTGCGACACAGCCCCAACCCTTGCAACCGCAGGTGAGCGCACGCTACAATCCCGTGCGACCCGCGCGAACCGAAGCGACGCGACGCGACGCGACGCGACGCCGCGAACGTGGGTTAGGGAAGGCTGTTGGTTCTCCTAACGATTTTAATAGAATGTGCAACGCAATTTTAAATGAGACTGTGCTCTTGCAACGTGATGCAGGCGACAGTCGCGTGTGAGAACAGATGGCCGTGGGCTAGGTCATGCTTTCGATTTTCCTGTCATTCTAATAGTACGTCGAATGTTGCTCTTGCACTTTCATGGTGTCGCATACGACACTCGCATGCGACAGGTTCGAATCGAAGCGATGCGTTGATAGCAGAGTTAGATCAGATTGTTAAATCTTTATGCATTATCGTAATTGAATGATTGTGTTACTTATATGTCAGGGTATAGGTCTTGCGATGTCAGTTGAGCGGATGCGACACTCACGTGCGACTGTCAAAAACGAAGCCACATGATGACAGCGGTAGAATAAGAATCCCTTCTATATGTTGAGATTCATCGTTTGCTCTCTCCTAAGAACGCAAGTGGTACGGTTGCTGAAAACCGCGACCAAAATTAATAATTTTGACATCCAATGCTCTAAACGTTATAAAAATAAATAAATAATATTAATAAAATATTCGGGTTTTTTCCTTGCAACCTGAAGGGACGGTATGCGACACATCCGTGCGACTAAGTAAATTACCAGCTACATGACACTGTTTTGAATGAGAAAGCATTTTCAACTTCGGATTCGTGTTAACTTTGGAGTCAAAAGTGAGCGCAAGCGACAAAACCATGCGACACAGCCGTGTGACTGCGGGAAACCGACGCAACCCGGTGCGGTGTGGGTTAGGTCAAGCTGTCAAAAGTCTCATATTAAAGGTGTGAGAAATGCATGTTAACGGCTTTGACATATCTCTTAGAACCGTAGGAGAGTACTTGCAACCCTTTCGTGCAACCGAAACTAGTGCAGATAACTTGACGGTGGGTTGAGATAGGTCAGCAATTCAATTAACTCATTTTTCTCGTATACACATTACATGTGAAATCCATTTAAACGTGTGAAATCCATTCCAAACGTTGCGATCGCACGAAATATTGGACTAAGGGTGTGCTGAGGCATCGATTTGTTACATGAAATCCACGCATCCTCCTAAAATTTGCAACTCCGTAACTGTTCTTTGCAACTGCAAGTCAACGAGTAAGACAGCGACCGACTAGCACAACGGGACCCATTAGACCCGCCTATTCACATCCATTTTCTGTCGTAGATGCATCCTGTGCAATTGTAGGTGTGCTTTTGCAACCATGAGCAGACATAATTTTCCCATTAAAAACATTGCTTAAACCATGAGAAAATAAACTGAAAAAGGGGGAATAACCTTTCTTCAAGATAAGTGTATGAGCCAAGAAAAGTGTAAAGTCAGGTGTACGAGGAATAATTGTGACGGTTGGCGTGTGAAAATGGATGTATTTAATGCATAACACAATATAATTTTTATTTATTTTACTTAAAATGAATGTTTTAAATCATTCCTAATATTTTTTACAACTTACTGTTTCTCCGCAAGAAACACTTGGACAAGTTGAATGGAACGTATAATTGCATGAAAGAATTGCGATTGGTTCAGAGAAACACGTAATATATAGTTTTTGATTCTCTACTTGTAACGTCAAATAATTCATTTTCAGAAGGGAGAATTCGTTGTCTAATGGTTTGGGTAAATGTTTAAATCAGTACTAAATTGGTCTTGGCAAAATGAAAAAGTCATGAAAAGTACTTGTCACAAATTTAATGGAAAACAGTGTCAAAACATCGTCATAACCATTAATAATTTAGTTAACGATGCTTAATAAGTTTTTCGTATCTTTCACTACCACAGTGCGTTAAATTTATACCGCACTAGTTTACAAAAACTCGTGTGACATCAACATTCGTATATTAATCTTCGTTGCAAGACAGAATTTCGACCGAGACTATTTCCGTCTGCAAACAGAATTGCGAACTTTTAAAAGATGAACGGCAGGGGACGTTGCATAACATGCTGACACTGAAAGCAGCAGTTGGGCGGCGTCCAAAATGCAGAGAAATTCGTTCTATCCTGAAACCAAAATAACTTTCCTTGCTGTGGTGGAAGTAGACTACCCCTTGAAACAGATGAGTAAGGCGGGAAACATATCTGCCCATCAGGCGTTCAATTCGTGGAGGTCATTTCTTTTATAATTGATATTCCTTGTCGCACATAATTATAAAAAATATATATTTTGTTATTTTTTGAATTATTTTAATAAGATTATAATATCTTCATTTGCTGAAAATAACGTCTAAATATAAGTCTCGAATATCACGCAAAATATGAATAAGTTATAACAGTTCAAAAAATGACAAATTTTGTGAGCGAACTGTACAGTAAATGTAAGACAATCTAGCGCCCACTACCGCAAAACATACGTCACAACATCACATCCGTAATTCAGAATAGTAAGTTACGTAATAAGGGTGTAGCACACGTGTTGCGTATATTTGTCGCACATTATTAAAATGAAAAAAATAGTTATTTTGCACCTAGAAAACAAGCACGATAAGTAGTTTGCGCACAGCATGTTCAAAATTACTCACAGCGCCAGTGATATATTTCAAGCAAATAATAATCATCTGTCAATTGTTGACCTTTGTTTTTTTCTTCGTAGTTTCTATTCAGATCTAGAATTGATTCTCTAGCTTGCTCGTTGCAAAGTCGTCCAATACGTTACCATCTCATTGCTCAATGTTTCATCATAAGGATTGCGAGAGATAATTCATGGCACGGCTATATTATCTCATTCTTGAAGTTTTCTTCAAACAATACAACTTTGATGTCTGGAATCTGAAACAGAATCAAAGCATTATAAGTAAAGAATTTTTTGCCTTATGAAGGTCCGAAATAATGAATAGAATGTGCACAAGAAAGTGAAAAGAAACGTATCTGTCTTTGCTCCATAAATGGTTTTGTCCAAAAAAATGGTTTCACAAATTTTTCATTATACATATTTTTCTTGTTTATATCTCGGTCGTCAACATCAAAATGTTGTCACTTATAGTATATTATAGTGATGTTATTGAACAGTCCACCAGTTCAATATATTATATTTACAACCAAATCTGGACTTGTCCATCTTTATACCGAAATATATATGTGTTTTTTCAATATTATGTATTGAAAAGTGGTTTGAGATTTAGATGTTTACACACACAAGTACAAAAAGCTATGATTTGTCTTTTTTACAAAAAGCTAAGACAAAATCTCATTTTTACCATTTTTGGTCGCAGCACCCTTTATGCGGCAAACACAGACATACATTCGAAAGATAGTAGAACATTTATTTTCGAGTTATAACAGTATTTACTTCATAATTTAAATATTTTATTTTCGTTAAAATTATGATAAAAACGTATCTTATAACATATTGCATAATTATAATTTCTTTACGATGCTAAATATTATTAAAGAGAAAGCCGTTCAGAAACCCAGCAAACATCGGGAGAGATGGGCCGTTACAAAACATACCCGCCAGTTACGTAACACGGTTCGCGCTCGCGCAGAGCTACACAATAGTGGGCGGGTGGGGGGTGTTGGAGTATTTCGGCGGCGGGAAGGGGGAGGGAGGCCGAGAATAGGTCTCGCGATAAAAGGACGCGCGCGTGCAAAGCGAGTGGAGAAGAATAAGAAGTAGAAGAAGGAGAAGAAGCCTTTGATGCGGCGGTCTTGAGTGCAGGCCAGCCCGTGGCAGCCACCCCCACGACAAGTAGCGCTCGAGGTGTTGACGGGTGTCTGCTACTCGTCATCCAACTCCCTCTCTTTCTTCATGTGTTTGGTCTGATTTCGAAGCCTATCTTTTCCCTCTTGTTTCTTCATCGAAATGTCTTTTATTTCTTCGTCTTATTCATTTTTTCTTGTCCTTTTTCCTTCTTCTCGTCTTCCTTCCTCTCGTTTTTCTTCTCCTTCTCATTTTGCACTTATTCTGCTTTGTCGTGTACTATTTGAATTCTTTCATTCTACTTCTTATCTTCGTTATTTCTTTGCCTAAATGGCCTTCTTGTCTTTTTTCGTCTTGTTCAACTTGTTTTCCTTGCCTCTTTTCCTCCTCTTTCTTCTTCTTTTCATTTTTCCTTCGCTACTCTTTCTTCTGTTTCGTCTCTTTTTGGTTTATTTCTCTTATTAACTTTCTTCTCAGCGTTTTTCTCTACCCTTTTCCTCTTACTTTTAGTCCTGATTTCTGTAATTACTTTATCTTCATTTCCTTTCTTTCTTGACATTGTATTTGTACCCCTTTCTCCTGCTCTAGATACTTTTCATAATTGTTATTTTCTCTTTTTTATTCGTTTCTTTACTTTCTTTCTTTCTGTTCGTTTCGGACTTTTTTTTATTTTCTCTAATTTCTTTTTCTTCTTCTTCTTTATTATTACTATTATTATTATCGTTCTCAGCTATGATACCAAGTTTATGTTCTGTACAATTGCTACTGTTTTAATTTGGCTTAATCTCATATGAAAGACACCCCTTATTTCAAAATATTGAAATATATGTACGTTGTACTTTCATAATTTTATTTTATGCTGCAAGAGCTTCATTTGCAAATAAAATATTTTAGTATTTTAATATTTAACGTATTTTTTATACGCCAAGATCTGAGTATTTTGTAATAGGAAGAAACAGGGTTAGCTATTAAATTTGCCATTATATTTTTACACTCTCTAGATAACTGTTTTCTAAACGATTATTATCTTTTGTTAAAAGGTCATTAATATGACACAATTAAATTCAATACATCATCTACGTACGAATTGCTATATTTCTTGTGATCATTCATATATATGAATGTAAGCAAAGTAGTTTTTGTTCTCGAGTTAAAAATATTCCTAGCATCTCTTGAAACAATTTACTTCATTTCTGGAGAATGACACTCTTCAGAATAATTCACGTCGCGAAACGTGTGCTGATGATATTATTGTAGAACTGTCGCA